AAGAAAAGGGCTTTTGAAGTTTTATTATATACATTATTTACGTTACAGATTTAATAACATTGGATGACCAGGAAGGCTGGAGGCCAAGGCAGAGGAAGTACAACCAGTGGGTATGGAAGGTGTAATTTAACAAGTTTAAAAACCTAATTCCCTTTGCTGAGCTACTAGTCCCTCTGCCCCAAGTTATGTCCGGGTAATTGAAATCTCCAATAATTAAAGTGTTAACCAGATTTGCAGCTTTCTCAATTTGCTCAAACAGCTGTTGTTCCTCGTCAATATTAACATTAGGTGGTTTATAACATATCCCAACCAATAGTTGGTTTCCCTTCTTTTCCCCCAAGCAGATATTTACCCATAAAGCTTCCACATTTTCCTCATCACATTCCATTTGCTTAAGATTTGGCTTTAAATCATGGTTGACATACAAACATACCCCACCACCCTTCTTGTTTTTCCTATCCTTCCTAAATAACATGTACCCATTTAAGTTAGCTGCCCAGTCATGTGTCTCATCCCACCATGTTTCAGTTATGCCTATTATATCATATTGTTTAGTGTATGCTAATGCCTCTAGTTCCTCCATTTTGTTATTTAGGCTCCTTGTATTAGTAAGCATACATTTAATATTATGCGCCACTTGTATATTTTGTGAATTTTCACCATTACACAGCTTCTCTGTTCTGAGCTTGCCCCTCCCCCCGTTTCCACCCCCCTTATACTGTGCTAAAGCCCATCTCCTTTCTGTCCTATCTCCATTTTGTAGATTGCTATGACCCTCCCCCCTACTACTAGTTTAAAATCTCCTCCAACCTTCTAGCCATCCTATCCCCCAGCACTGCAGACCCTCTCCCGTTTAGGTGCAATCCATCACTACTATAAAGGTTGTACCCAATTGCAAAGTCGGCCCAGTGCTCTAAAAACCCAAAACCCTCCTTCCTGCACCAAGACTTAAGCCACGCATTGACCTCTCTAATCTCCCGCTGCCTTTCCACTGTAGCGCGTAGCACAGGTAATATCTCAGAGAATACCAGCTTGGAGGTCCTTTTCTTAAGTGTGCTACCTAATTCCCTGAAATCATTCTTTAGGACCTTCCATCTTCCTCTTACTTTGTACCAACATGGACCATGACCGCTGGGTCATCCCCAGCCCCTCCCAATAATGCATCCACTCTGTCAGCAACACGCCGGACCTGAGCACCCAGGAGACATCAAACTGGCCGATAAGAGTGGCGGATTGCCCTATCTGCTCTCCTAATGATAGAGTCCCCTACCACCACAACCTGTCTTGCCTTCCTTACATTTTGATCCCCACCCGTACTAGGGGGGCTGTTAGAAGTAACAGCTTCCTCTAATACAGCTACTCCTGAGCTGATGCTCCCAACATCTTCCCTCAAATGGACAAATCTGCTAGGTTGCACCAAATCAGGACTAGCTAGCCCTTTCCTCTAACCCCCCCAGCTTCCTTGCCCCACTGTGACCCAGCTACATGCCTGTTCCCCATCTGTCTTATCTCCTCCCTCTCCCTGTCCCCACTAAACTCTGCTCAGTGAGCAGTAGACTCCTCTCAAGATTGTCAATCTCCCTCAAAGTTGCGATTTGCTTCTTGAGATCTCCAATCTGAGCTTCCAGAGAAGCCACTCGCACACAACCATCACAGAGGTATGGACCCTGGACGGGTACATCAGGCATCCATACATGGAACAAGATGTGCATTGAGTCAAACCAGCAAGCTAGCTAACACTCATTTCCCCAGATACAGAACAATAAAACAATTACCTTGTTAGTGTAAACCCCTTGTTAGTTTTAACTCCTGGTTTTCTAACTCCTACTTGAAAGAGTCTACTTAATAGAGTCTGCTTTCAAGTAAACATAATATTACTGGGAAGTAACAATTCTTTGGCGTAACTACCTGAACAGTTAGCACTGAAGAGATAAGTGCCTGACACTAGAGGGCAGTAGAACTCCATTCAAATAATTAGATAAGGAAAAAGTGTAAGATTTATTCTCAGGAGCAATCACAAAGGCATTAATGAGAGTCATGTTAAGTAAAATTGTTGTAATCATATGATCAATTAAACCATAAGCAAATAAACAATAGTATTTCTAACTGGAGCTCAAGCATCAAAGAGGGACCATGGTGTGGACACCTGTGGACCCCCACTCTATAAACCATAAAAAAATAAAACAAAAACACTGAACAAGTGGACAATACCAGGGCACTCTAGGCACCATAACCATCTCACCAGAAGAAGTAATTATTATTCCTCGAATGTCCCCTTAAAGGACCACTCTAGGCACCCAGACCACTTCAGCTCAATGAAGTGGTCTGGGTGCCAGGTCCCTCTATTTTTAACGCTGCAGCTGTGAACATAGTTTCAGAGAAACTGCTATGTTTACATTGAGGGTTAATCCAGCCTATAGTGGCTGTCTCCCTGACAGCCACTAGAGGCCGCCTCGCGATTCTCACTGTGAAAATCGCACTGAGGACACGCTGACATCCATAGGAAAGCATTGAGTAATGCCGCGAATGCGCATTCTGAGTTGACGTTGGCAGGGGGAGGAGAGGTCACCAGCGCCGAGGGAACCCGGCGCTGGATTAAGGTAAGGAGCTAAAGGGGTCTTAACCCCTTAAGCCCAGCGGGAGGGGGGCCCTGAGGGGGGGGACCTAATAACCCTATTGTGCCAGGAAAACGAGTTTGCTTTCCTGGCAGTATAGTGCTCCTTTAATTTTCTCTCTCGTAACGCTCCCTAATATTCTATATAACCTCTCCCTATAACTCCTCCTATTACACCATATAACCTCTCCCTATAACTCTTATTATTCCATATAACCTCTCCCTATAACTCCTCCTATTACTCCATATAACCTCTCCCTATAACTCCTCCTATTACACCATATAACCTCTCCCTATAACTCCTCCTATTACACCATATAACCTCTCCCTATAACTCCTCCTATTACTCCATATAACCTCTCCCTATAACCCCTCCTATTACTCCATATAACCTCTCCCTATAACTCCACCTATTACTCCATATAACCTCCCTCTATAACTCCACCTATTACTCCATATAACCTCTCCCTATAACTCTTCCTATTACTCTATATAACCTCTCTCTATAACTCCCCTATTACTCCATATAACCTCTCTCTATAACTCCTCCTATTACTCTATATAACCTCTCTCTATAACTCCCCCTATTACTCCATATAACCTCTCTCTATAACTCCTCCTATTACTCCATATAACCTCTCCCTATAACTCCTCCTATTACTCTATATAACCTCTCCCTATAACTCCTCCTATTACTCCATATAACCTCTCCCTCTAACTCCTCCTATTACTCCATGTAACCTCTCTCTATAACTCCCCCTATTACTCCATATAAACTCTCTCTATAACTCCTCCTATTATTCCATATAACCTCTCTCTATAACACCTCCTATTACTCCATATAACCTCTCTCTATAACACCTCCTATTACTCCATATAACCTCTCTCTATAACTCCTCCTATTACTCTATATAACCTCTCTCTATAACTCCCCCTATTACTCCATATAACCTCTCTCTATAACTCCTCCTATTACTCCATATAACTCTCCCTATAACTCCTCCTATTACTCCATATAACCTCTCCCTCTAACTCCTCCTATTACTCCATATAACCTCTCTATAACTCCTCCTATTACTCCATATAACCTCTCTCTATAACTCCCCCTATTACTCCATATAAACTCTCTCTATAACTCCTCCTATTATTCCATATAACCTCTCTATAACTCCTCCTATTACTCCATATAACCTCTCTCTATAACTCCCCCTATTACTCCATATAAACTCTCTCTATAACTCCCCCTATTATTCCATATAACCTCTCTCTATAACTCCTCCTATTACTCTATATAACCTCTCCCTATAACTCCTCCTAGTACTCCATATAACCTCTCCCTCTAACTCCTTCTATTACTCCATATAACCTCTCTCTATAACACCTCCTATTACTCCATATAACCTCTCCCTATAACTCCTCCTATTACTCTATATAAACTCTCTCTATAACTCCTCCTATTACTCCATATAACCTCTCCCTATAACTCCTCCTATTACTCCATATAACCTCTCCCTATAACTCCTCCTATTACTCCATATAACCTCTCTCTATAACTCCTTCTATTACTCCATATAACCTCTCTCTATAACTCCTCCTATTACTCCATATAACCTCTCCCTATAACTCCTCCTATTACTCCATATAACCTCTCCCTATAACTCCTCCTATTACTCCATATAACCTCTCCCTATACTCCTCCTATTACTCCATATAACCTCTCCCTATAACTCCTCCTATTACTCCATATAACTCTCTCTATAACTCCTCCTATTACTCCATATAACCTCTCCCTATAACTCCTCCTATTACTCCATATAACCTCTCTCTATAACTCCTCCTATTACTCCATATAACCTCTCCCTATAACTCCTCCTATTACTCCATATAACCTCTCCTATAACTCCTCCTATTACTCCATATAACCTCTCCCTATAACTCCTCCTATTACTCCATATAACCTCTCTATAACTCCTCCTATTACTCCATATAACCTCTCCTATAACTCCTCCTATTACTCCATATAACCTCTCTCTATAACTCCTCCTATTACTCTATATAACCTCTCTCTATAACTCCCTCCTATTACTCCATATAACCTCTCTCTATAACTCCTCCTATTACTCCATATAACCTCTCCCTATAACTCCTCCTATTACTCCATATAACCTCTCTATAACTCCTCCTATTACTCCATATAACCTTTCCCTATAACTCCTCCTATTACTCCATATAACCTCTCTCTATAACTCCTCCTATTACTCCATATAACCTCTCTCTATAACTCCTATTACTCTCATATAATTCTCTATTCTACTCCATATAAACTCCCCCTATTACTCCATATAACCTCTCTATAACTCCTCCTATTACTCCATATAACCTCTCTCTATAACTCCTCCTATTACTCCATATAACCTCTCCCTATAACTCCTCCTATTACTCTATATAACCTCTCCCTATAACTCCTCCTATTACTCCATATAACCTCTCCCTATAACTCCTCCTATTACTCCATATAACCTCTCCCTATAACTCCTCCTATTACTCCATATAACCTCTCCATATAACTCCTCCTATTACTCCATATAACCTCTCCCTATAACTCCTCCTGTTACTCCATATAACCTCTCTCTATAACTCCTCCTATTACTCCATATAACCTCTCTCTATAACTCCTCCTATTACTCCATATAAGCTCTCCCTATAACTCCTCCTATTACTCCATATAAGCTCTCTCTATAACTCCTCCTATCACTTTATCTTACATCTGGATCTGAGAAGGACAGGCCTCATTGAGGTTTGACAGGCGGTCAGCTGGGAGAAGAAATGTGTACACAGGGACAGCCTGTCTGTATGCAAAATCAAGTTGAAAAAGTCAGGGGTCTCATAGGCATTTCAATCAATGTATTCCAATAAGTGATACAAAACTAAACTATTTCATTGGCTAGTATATTATCTGCCTTTCCCAGCTCTGTGTCATAGAGAAGGCGCTGCTGGACTCACTGTGTAACACTTAACCCTTTATATGATGTCTTCTATGAATCTTCATAGTTATTATATTATTCACTTCCAACACATAAACTTCCCATCACATCTTATTATATTCTAATAAATGTGTCTGTTATTATCCCTTAGTGATACTTATTCTAATGGTTATTAACCAATATACATGTACTTGACTTAATATTATGATTCATTATTCTGTGTTTGTAGAGGTTAGCAGCTAAGTATAGGTAATCTTGAAGACAGGATACCAGGATAAACACATCCTTATCCAGGGTATTAGTGGCAAATTAGCAGGGTAGGATAAACTTAAACTAGCCACATGAAGCTGAGCTAGGATGACTTGCTTTTCAAACCATTATATGCTCATTCTTTTGTTTAGCTAAATTGAAATACATAATCTATGGCTGATTGTCTGTTATTTTATACTTAACAATTCCACTCGTGAATTCTAACAGAATAACACACAAAATAATTCACTATTCTCAGTGAATGCCCTTAGGTTTAGGAATTGCAAGCTAGTAAAAAAATAAAATAAAAACAGATTTGTTTTCTGTTATTTTAGTGATCTGGAACACTTTGGGAACACACAGTCCCGTAAACCACCCATGTCTCCATTTGTAGATTAGAGTCAATCACTTCCCTTTAAAATCATCATCCCAAATGATCTGATAAATTTTATGTATAAAATGCGCCCAGCTGGGATCTTCCTTGAGGGATCTTCCCAACAAACACTCGATTTTCAAGTACCCGTACATTAAATTCACAGGAATACGATCAAACACACTGTCAAACTCTGTCACATTCCCCTGGATCTATATGCCCCCTTCTCCCCCTCCACTAGGTGTCCTCGTGCTAAGCATAAAACAGCTTATCTTCTTCCAACATTTTCTTGCCGATGAACACTGCGTTCATTCTTGACAGACAACTCTTTTTCTGTAGCAATAAGTATATTTGTAATAAACGGCAGGCCTACGAGCTCCATGCAGTCCTTTGCTCACAGTCCTAATTTTGATGCTAAAACTGCTCGCCATGTTTTCAGCAGCAATAAGCCATTGGGATCCAGGGAGCACAGATTGACAACTTTCTCGGAGCTAAGCCTGTCCAGTTCCAGATCAGTAGAAAATCCATTGCTACGTCCTCGGAGTGTAAAAAGGCAATAATGGTGGGAGGGAGGGAGAAGGGGGCTTCACCGCAGGTTCATGCGACTTCCTTCCATCAGCAATCAACACCAGACATTGGAACATACAAAGAACAGTAATGAACACCTTGAGAGTACATCCACATCTAGTGTCACAACGGGAATTAAACAGAAGTATATATATATATATATAGCACGCCACGAATGTACGTTTTAAAATGTTACTTTTATTAGGTAACAAAATGTATTTAGATAGACAAAAACAAGAGAGAAGAAAAAAGTGAATTATACCTAATAATAAAACGACAAACAAAGATGCTACAGGGTCTCGAATAGAACAAGTCACGAGACCCTGAGCATCATCTAGATATAGGTATGACTAGTAGGCAAATACTACGTAATCGGTACTATCTAGATAAACCCACAGTGTGTGAGGTATATAAAAAATCGTGGCAAAAAAATAATAAAGTATACAAAAATGAAATATATACACTATATCCAATATTTACAAAAATCAACTATACCGCCGATCTAGATTATAGAGAAGCACCACTGCAAAGTAGTCAAAAGGGATCTACATCATACAGAAAAAAAATAAAAACAGGATAAACTTTAATTGAAACTTGTTAAAATCTGAGTGTCAGGTCCCTCAGTGGTCTCTATAACTAAACAGCATTCATTAAGGCCGTCTGCTACACATGCAGGTAGGGGTAAAGCAACTCTCAAGTCAGGACCACTCAAGGGTCACAGGATTCTCCCTATATGCAAAAATCCCTATATATAAAAAGCTCTTCCATTTATATTAAGAGTCTTAGGAATAGGAGTAGTCAATATGTGCCATTCGTCAGCCAGATATATAGATATCCGAGGAGAGAAAATATATAGAAATGAAAGATCAGTATCTAATAGACTGATCATAAACTTAATAAAGCCTCTCTCCCTGGTAAACTAGCTAGACAGGTATAGTAACAGAAAAGGATAAGTCAAAGCTTAATGCTTGAAGCAAAAATAAAGCTTAAGAGTGCTCAAAATCCATAATGCCTGCCATTTGTCAGCCAGAGATATAGGTGTCAGAGGAGAGAATATACATAGAAATGAAAGATCAGTATATAGTAAACTGATCATAGACTTAATAAAGCCTCTCTCCCTGGTAAACTAGCTAGACAGGTATAGTGGTAGGAAAAGATAGATCAAAGCTTAATGCTTGAAACAAAATAGAGTTTAAGAGTGCTCAAAATCCATGATGCCCATATCATATCGGTATAGGTATATTGCCCAATATCATGCCCGACGCACGTTTCGGTGTCTGTGTATGACACCTTCGTCAGGGGCTAACAGTAATATGGTTACATCCTCGTTTAAATACCTTGGGCGCCAAAGAAATGTATCAATCACCTAGCGTGGAGCAGAGGGGTTCCAGGTGAAAGACCTCTCCGTAATTGTGTCCGGTAGTCTCAGTATGTGAGTCACATGACAAAGTGTCACGTGATCGCGACTTCCTAGCCTCCGATTGGCTCGCTCTCGGATTGTCGCGATTGGACGGCTCACATGTGGGCCGGGTTTAGCCCGTGCCACAGGCTGAGAATGCTTGTGTTACAGCCCACAGGGCATATTTTAAGGGTTAAATCCGTGGAGAATGATGGAGGTTAACTCCCATCACATCCAAACGGACAAAGTCAGTCAGAATACATACAGACTGGATTTATTAAACAGACCTCAAGTCTGGCCACAAATGTAGATTGTAGTAGCCTTCAGCACCAGAGTAATCAGTGTCAAATATATAAGATCACTATAAGGGTTATATTTCCATTAATTTAAACTAATCGATTCCATAGCGTCAAAGCATAAATGACATAGAGGATATATCAGGTCCCTATTGTCACTGGCTGCTACATGACACTAAATGTGTCAATTTATTAATCAATTCATATGTGGATCATGCCCTTACTAGTGGAACACCATCAAGACAGGTGAATTTAGGTAATCGGTATTAACTCAATAAAAAGAGGGGCATCTAGATGGATGTAGAAAGAGCTACTATAGTCATAAATAGCGTAAGTTGTGTATCAGGTTTATGTACATATATACAAAATAGATAGTCAATTTAACAAAGAAAAAACTGATTACAATCAGTGTACTAGTCTGAAATGAAAGAAGTATATGAGAACCCTTCATTGAGACCCATGGGAGACAGCGTCTTTAGTTTGTAGATCCAGAAACTCTCCCTCTGTAGGAGTTTTTTATCCAGATCACCTCCCCTTGGTCCCAATGAGACTTTTTCTATGCCACAAAATCTGATCCCGTCTGCGGATCCACTGTGCTGTAATTTAAAATGTTTAGAGACTGGTGTATCAATCAATCTCCTGGGATTCACCGAGTTCACATGTTCTCTTATTCGTAGTTTAAATAAACGAGATGTTTTTCCAACGTAAAGCTTCTTACAAGAGCATGTCAGTAGGTATACTAAGCCTTTTGATTGACAGTTAAAAAAGGTTTTAACCTCAAAATGTTGGGAGTTAGAGGAGTCTTGGAAAGTTTTAGAAGGTCGACGTATAAAATGGCACGCTTTGCACCTCCCACATTGGTAGGTACCTACCACTGGAGATTTCAACCAAGTCGAGGTATGAGCTATACCTAATAATAGTTTACACTGAACAAGTGTTGAAAAGTCTAATAAACCTTGTTCATATAGTATTCCTTGAATCGAGAATATATAAGAACAATAAAGGCTTTAGCAGAAATCAAAATTTAAAAAAACCGTTATCAAATGTATGTCATTGCTAAGAGAGCAACCCACTAACCTGATGGGTAAATACCAGCAGAGATATACTATAGATCCTGATGCAAGTATAAATATACTCTTAGAGGGTACACTAAATAGTGATTTTAAATTCCTAGAATACTGACTGTTATATACAGCTAGTTGGAGCCTATTGACAACTATGCTGGCAAATGAAATCTGCGTCCGTAAGGAGTGCGAAAGAAATACTTTTGCCATAAATTGCAACAACGTATCACAATACCAACCTCTGCACGGTGGCAGATATACGCCAACACTACCGGGTGAACACCAACAGGGGTGTACACTTACAAAGAAAAAGAGTGGTATTTTGCGTAAATTGACATACCCCTACTGTGCCTTCAAGTGCACCCCTTGTATAATAAATAAGACGTTATAAACTACATAAAAAATTAACATGCCCAAATACTCGTAGCCCAATTTGTAATTCTTAGATGGAAAATATATAAAGCGGACGTTATGTTGCTACCCTCCCTGCAAGGTGAGAAGAACTGTTGTCTTAATATAAAGGCATTGTAACCATTGAAGGTGAAGCCTGACCACTCCATAAACTAAACTTGGGAAGCTAAAATGTTACTGTTTCCATTTTAAATGAAGCTAAAGTCACAAGAGTGTCATGATGGAGCAGCCGTTTACTGGAGACTAACAAAACCTCT